TCTCTCTCTCTCTCTCTCTCTCTCTCTCTCTCTCTCTCTCCCGGTTTGACGGTGACCAATTTGTTCCATCCAACACTCTACGCCTGCAACCGGGATCAAAATTGTGTATCAAGGCGGCGTCAGCTGGAAAGTGGCCCCTCAAATGGTATGCCCCGGAATGCATCTATTATTTCCGGTTCGATTCCAAATCGGACGTATGGAGTTACGGGATCACCTTGTGGGAAGTATACTCGTACGGGGAACGTCCATATCGAGTGAGTTCAATGCGCCCACCCCCGTGCCTGCGTGTGTGTGCGTGCGAGCGTGTTTCAGTAGAGAGGGGGGGAGAAGGGTGTGGGCAGGGAGAGATAGATGGATTGGAATTGCGGCTTAGAGCATGAACAATTCCGAGCTCATTATGAGCAAGTGCTACCCACATTTCTGCTCGGATGAAGATAACTACCCAGCGATTCCGGTCCAAACTCTGTTTCATTTCTCATTTGTAGATTCGCTTTTCAGCTCCGATCACTTAAGCGGAGTGTGCGACACAGTTGAAATCGGCATTGCCTTCAGTCGAGCGGCTAGTTGATTCGCGTTTATTCAAACAACGGGAATCTACCAGTCCGATTGATAGCACGGCCGGGTCCAATGTGCCTGTTTCAATTGTTGACCAAGGTAGATGTGTTCCACTCCATGTCGTCATTGGGTCAGTATTATTCCAGGGAACCAGATTGATTCAAACAATGGAATTTTGCTGTCGTATGTGATCGATTCGAATCACTTACAAGCATACAGGCACACGCACACACGAAATCCATTGGGCATTAAGACGGTAAAGAATGCAATGATGAAAACTCATGATGAGTAAACCGATCGTGTTTCACAGTCTCCTTGTAGATATGTCACCTGATGCGCATCAGATGCAATACAAGTAGGTGTAAAAGTTTTCTGCTCACCGTGGTGCCATTCCGGATTTTACTTCCTCACTTTTCAGTAAATTATAGTATAGGTCTGTGTTCTGGAATATCATGGGGATGGTGGACACATGCTTACGTCACTCGCAATGAACTTGGGTGGGGAACAGATAATTCGGAATGGATTAACGGATAGCTTTAGCGTACATAACTTTATCCTGATAATTTCAGTCTAGTCAAAATTATATAAAGTGATAATCTATCCCATTGATTTATGAACCAGTCAAGCACTGACTCTTCAAGTGTTGAGTTTTACCGTTTCATTGGTTTGGTCTTTGATGAAATAGTCCTTTGACCTGTTGTGATTGAGTGTGCATCGATCGATGATTGCCCCAGTTTCGGGACAATACCCAAAGAATCATCACACAAGGATCTCAATGATCACAGCACCCCAGCCACACACACACATGAACAAACACATAAATGCACATACAGCCGCGGCTCTGTTTTAGTCCTCGTTTTAGAGCAAAATAGGAAAGAGCACATGAGAACGTTACAAAACTGATTCACAGACTAGGCATCAAAGGGTTATTTAAACTCGCTATCGGTACTCTCACTGTATCCCGTAAACCACGGACACAAAATCATCACCAGTGCTGTCGAGGGTTGTTTACATAATGAGTCGTTTCATAGAACTAGCTGTTCAAGGGACTCGACTGAGACTGAACTCTGTTCGAAGGTTCACCATATTGTTGCACTATGAGATGCACCAATAGAGTTCGCGAGAACTCGAACTCAGACGTAATTAACAGAATATTCCGACTGATTCATCTTTACTGCTGGATGTAGCACTCACCTTTGATCTACACTCTAATCTACTGATAAGCATTGATTCTGCGATACTCGTCCACCCAGTAGACACACATCACCACAACTGCTAGGCATGTGCGAAGTGAAATCTTAGACTCATTTTCGGTAATCAGCTCTCTTGCGTGGATGACATTTGCGACAACTGTCAGTAATGGAACCTCATATCCTCAACTGATAACTATAGTTCGTAGAATTGCGTTGGATATGTAGGGTTTCGACTTCAAACCTCACACCAGGCTGATGTGGCCCCACTAAGAGTGATGCTGCGTACATGTCGCCCTGAATTTTCTTTGTACTCCACATATTTTTTAGTTCATGGTCCAATGCGCGCACAGAGAGAGAGAGAGAGAGAGACTGATGTGATTCACCGAGACCATTCGGACGCTGAATCATCCGGGCACAACTTTATTTCCCCCGTATGTTAGACACAATACATGTCAACGGCTTTATTTTGATTCCAATGTGCTAGGTCCCGGGTAACCATTCCCCGTAGTGTTCTCTGAAATGATGTATCACATGACCGATGTCAACACCACGGAACTTTCCACTATTTGTGGCTCTTGTGGTTACAAAGTTTATTCTAATAACGTTCAAAAGATTTATAGGTGACCATATAAAACACTGGAAAAAGATTACAGTCAAATGGGCAGTTTATCATTTTAACTCTATGATAAATTTCTCCCAAAGTTGCATCTGTATCTGCAACATACAGCAATGCAAATAAATACATTTTATCCGCTAATGTTCCAATATCAATGTGACCTAGCCACAGTTTCGCAGCAATCTAGAAACTAACACACAGTACAGTCAGTCCAGAGTCATTACCGCGAGTAGTAGTCAATGTTGTGATGCATTGTTCTTCTCTCCGCGAAAACCTGTACGTGTTTTCTCCTCCACCCCCACCCGCCACCGGGGTTGTCAACACTCGGCCTATATATCCGGTATATTCCGCATTAGTTCTCCTCTATGAGTCATCCAATGCGTATCCATATGGTCAAACAAGCCCAATCGCCGCACGCTCGTGTGTACAAATGGCCCCAGCAAATTCAAGTCCTTGCCCGTCCAATACCCGAGCAGGTCAGATGGTAGTATGACTGGTGACATCTTTATTGACTGGTTTGAGCAATTAACCCCCTCGTCTATCGAGAAAGAAAAAAGAAGAAATGCATAAATCCATACACACACAAACAGATTGGCAGGCACCCAGACACCCAGACCGGATGGATGGCATAGTAGACCAACCGGTACACATTTTTCCACATGAGTAGGACCAAGCACGCTATCGATTTAATCAGAGGTTATTCATGGAACGTCCAGAAGGAGTTGTCCAATACGCCTGTTTGGTCCCAAACAATTGAGAGTAGACACCAATTAACTAGCAACATAGTCCAATAAAATGTGGAACATTGTCTCAGCTTAGTGCCAGTACGCATTTCTTCAAACTTAATATACTTGATTGTAGTTAAACGAGAACTGTTTGAGTGGCTTTGAACTCTGCTGGAAAATCAGGCTCAAGCCGTTCACAATAGCCTTGCATGAAAATCTTTGGTTATGGAGCGAAATCACAATTGCTAATGGTGTCATTATAACGCAAACTCTGGACTGGCTTACGAGTAAACTGTGGACTACATCAAGTGGAGTCCACCGATTTCAGGTTATCCGTTTCACATCCATGGTTGATCGATTCAAGCGTCTACGAGAGGAACGGATTGGTTAGCGTGCCGAATGCAGAGGAATGAGACGGGCGAATGCATGCATAACAATCATTCACCCTGTTCCTTCCTCCGGAGTGCGTAATTTGTTTTTCTTCACACTACTCCCCCTCCCAAAAAAGGAGTTGAAAATGTGAATAAAATGTTGGGTTGCACGAGGGATTGGGACAAACTGAATGCAACTAACTCGACTAATCTCATCTAATGATGAGTGCTTCATAAACAGAAAGCAGTCACAATCAGCCACAAGATCCTCATTTGCATCCGAGGAACATATGTTCCAAATATGGACACACCAGGAGCACCAGAATTATTAGGGGACCGATAATCATAAGCGACAAGTACTGCGAAACCTGTTATCGGTTTTGGAAAAAATGAATTTGCTCATTCATGCGTTATTTGTCATACAAAACCGGCGCGCGAACCACGTGGCGTACAAATTGTGCGCATTCTACGGATCGATATGTTTGTTTGTGTACCATGTGCTTAAATGTCACAATTTTAATCTCATTCACTATTTACGGGTATAATGGGATCGGAGAATAACCGAACAGATCCCATATATCTCATATTTCTAATAAGGTAACTGTGATCTGTCTTGCAGATGAGAAATCATGCGATAACATGATATAAATAAGTGTTTTGTTGAACAGTCATTGATATAGAATTCTTTCGTCAGAAGCTTTGCAGAAAATGGTTTCTGTCTCTATGCGATATTCAAATATATTCGACCTGGTAACTGGTGATCCCTTTTGTTTCGCTGTTTTTCGGTTAAGTGTCTGGGGATAAACCGAGGAGGAGAAGTTCTCTTTGTTAATCCTATCATCTTTTCTCTTGTTCAAATGATACCGTTTAAAACAACTACATGGTTTGTCTATTGTGGTTGTCTTTTCATAAATTTCTCAAATGAAAAACTACCCTTTGTCGGAAAGCTGTTAGTTAAGCAGAGGCCGCAGTCTCCTTCCAGCAATCTGAATTTATGTGATGAATTCGGCACCTGAGAGGTTGCATCCCACACACTCAGTATACCTTAAACGACCCAGATATCAGAGCCTTAGCCGTTTACCCTAGGTTGTTTGAATTTCTGCTCTCTCTCTCTCTAACTTTCAGAGCACTGCTCAAAGTCACACTCCAAGTTTATAGACATGCTCTTCCATCTGTAATTTTGGCTTTGAGATCACAGATTGTCATTTTGTAGAATACTACTCGCAAGTAACCCATGTGCAGTTCGAAAATAACCACTACAGACAAAAAGTGATGATTCATCCCAAAAGTTAAGTACATAAATTTTAGATGACAATTCCAAGCTCCTTTATTTCACAGAAAGAGATTCCTGACCGAAATCTTTTTTATACCCCGAGGGTTTCGCCATTGTTACAAATAATACCCTAAATTCCCCTTAGAGTCCTCGACGGTCGAGTTCCAAAATCAACATCCAAAATAGCTTGTTAAGGATATGACTGGACACGATTGAATTGGCATAGTCATTGGGTAAAGAGTTCAATTGCTACACGGGATAGTTACTCAGAGCACTGGACACGAAATGAAAAAATAGTCAGCTGACATCACTCACACGCATGTATATTTACATTATGGAACATCTTTAGTGTTTGACTGTTTGAGGACAGTAATTATCACTTATGTTGTATTTTTGTGTTCAATGATTTATTTGCTTGGATATGCCTATTCGATCAATAATCGATCCACTCAGCAAGCAGTTGTTCCCTTTCACTTGCTTATGGGTCATAATACGAATAAACTCCAATTTTGATTTTAATTGACTATTATCGTGAATGTTGGAATGTTAATAACACAGCGATATCGACAGAGAATTGTATTCGCCGACGTGTTGGTTACCGTGGTTAACCTTCCTCAAGGCAGGTTGTACAATCAAATAATTGACATGCTGACTGATTGTAAAACCTGCCTTGCGAAAGGTTACCCACGATAACCAAAACGTCGGCGAATACAACTCTCTACCAATATCGCNAAAAATAAAACAAAAAATACGGCGCATCGACTTTTCGATTCACTCCTAACATCATAATATATATATATATATATATCACAAATGAACTGAGTATTATTCAAACTTCATCCTTGTTACGCCTTGTCGAACTATCACTGAACCCGGTCTAACGATCCGTATCCCAACGATTCCAGCAAAAAGACAGTTGGAAAACACAGTGCGAGCCTTTATTGGTATCACAAGCCAAAACGTGGTCGTGGTCGTGGTCAAGTAAGGGGAAGAGAACGTGTGGTATTTATGAGGTTGCTCACTCTCCGGAATGGAGCTTACGTGGGTGGCGATGGAGGACTGTGCTAGAAATTGGGTCACTTTGCTTTGTACTTTTACTCTGACTCACACGTACCCAGTACGATCGAGAAAATGCCGACACGTTCACACGGGGTCGCGACTGATCCTAATCCGGTTCTGATTCACACAGTGAGAATTCCCAGGAGAAGGTTAGGCTTCTCCTGACAGTCCTCACACCCGATCCTCTGTACATGCAGTCAATCAGGCACTTAGGAAGCACTAGAATCCGCTTTCGCTCTCCTTAGTTCATGCCTGCCGTCCCAATACGTGTCCCAACTGAGGATCAATCGCAAGGAACATGCGTTACCATTCTACCATTCCAGTGCACAAGCGGTCTGATCCGAATCGCCACTTCCCGGTTCGATGACAGAGACGAGGGGAAGAGATACGGATGAGCATCTGTCCACCCCACCCGAAAGCCTCTCATCAAACCGTGTTTCCCATACTGGCTCGGGTGAATCTGCTTCGCGAAACCTACTAGGCTCAAATTTTAACTTCACATTTCACTCAGCCACTTGTGAGCAGTAGTGCTGCGGCGTAAATGAGGTAAATTCGCGTCTGGTATCACGCGAGTGTACCGCTGACGGTATGATCTGAAGATTGAGCTTCGGAGATTAAGTCTAGAGCCGTTCCAGTTCAAATCACTTATCCCATACCACGACACACAAGCAAATCTGAGATAAATGTGAATCAAATACTATTATTATTAGGCTCTCAACATAGTCCCACTGTTATAATTCCGGAAGAGCTGTTCATTACGAAACACAGTTCGGGTATGGATAATTTGGCGTACATATGACACGGTGTCTTACTGTGAACATGTCATCACAGTTCCCGGTAGCACACAGGGTAAGGAATGGAGCAGGCCGTACTTATCATTTTAAACACAACAATTCGCTCTAAGAGATTTTGTTCATTTTTGACCGTTGAAACAAACCGCCAGCGGCATCAAAAGGATGCCGCTGGCGATTTGTGTACTACTTACAAATGCTAGTAGAAATAATAGTAGCAATAGTAGTAGTGAGAATAAACCTTCAGTGGGATTTAACTGGTATCTTGTGGTTATTTACATCATGTATTGCGGACACCGCATCTCTCACAATCTTCTTTCTCCTCTCCACCTATTTCAGGATATGAAAGGAGCCCAAATTCTGGCCATGCTTGATCAAGGCTTGAGACTCTCTCGACCTAGCCGATGTCCAGAATCCATTTATAGCCTGATGCAACAGTGTTGGAATTTCGAGGGAGTACGTCGACCGACATTTGCTGAATTGGTTCTCGCACTGTCCCGGATACTTCGAGTCATGCCCCAACCAAACCCATCGCCGTCCTCAGTATCTGCCTCATCTTGTGAGACGGATACTTCGACAACTCTACCACCAGCCTCAAATTCCGAATCCATGGATCCTATCATGTACAGTCAGGGAAAACGGAATCATTGCAGTGGATCCGGTGGAAGTGGTGTGAACAGTGGCGCCAGTGATGGTCCGCCATTCTGACACGTAAACTAACGTCTGTCCCCCCCCCTCCCTGCCCCAGACCTGATTTATCTGCTCCTCATTATGGAAGAAAGAAATATGTGCAATATACAGCTTTATACATTTGCATATATACGTACATATACATATATACACACATCTCGCTATACAATTAGGTCAAAATACTGTTCAAATTCACTCGATTGCCAATATGATTCCTCGTCGATATCCAATGCTTGTGATGATCCATTGCCCACCACGATCTCCCCTTCAGACTCCCTCCCTCTGTCCATCTCGCGCGGCCCACTCCGCTTGTATCACTCTCTCGTTCTCTATCTGAACTTCAACCACATGTCGTCCTTCCGTCCACTTTGTATGCTTTGTTCTCTCTCTCTCTCTCCTTCTCATTGGTCTGCTAATTCTCGTCTCGACCAGCCCCGACAATACAGTGCATTTATGCTCGTTCAGTCACACTCGTTCGCACACACACACACACACACACACACACACACACACACACACACATCAAGATTATGCACCGGAACCAAACAAAACGCGAACGACTCGTTTCGCAGGTCTGCTTCCCACTGTTTCAGCTCAACTCGCGGTCGCATGTCACCTGGAGTTCATGTTCTCACTTGCGACGTTGTTCACAAGTCCCACACAGAGTGTTCTTGCTGATGCGGACGATATGGATGTGATGCCTATCCGATAAAGATTTTTATTTGCACAGTGTCGCTCTATTTTGCCGCTCCGCGTACCAATTCGGGCTCAGGTTCATTGCGCACAGTCAAAGTCCCTAAATACAGTTGGACAATTTCGAACAGGGTTGGGCAATTTTGAAATTCAATCGAGGATACACAATGTGGGCGAACATAGGTTTTCGGCGACTTTCTTCTCAAGCCTTTACAATCACATTTTTATGAAACAATTTCAATAGGGCCAAACACAAAGGTGGATGAGTCATGTGTTTGGCAATGAGTCCACGAGAACTCAAAATTTGTGCGCTGTTTGGATCACGTAACCAAGTTCGTTACGTCATGGTCGTGTGAACAAGCGATTTTCTCTTCCCTTGGACAGGCGAATTTGAGATCAAATTGGTTTACAATTTGCCTAGGCTTCATGAGCCGGATGCTAATTGCCTCTGCGGTTGCTGACGTCCCAAACCGTATTGCTCTCGAGGGGTGTGGTGAGACTCGATAAATGATTGCAAATGCCGAGGGCATGTCAACCAAGTATCCCATCTCTACCAGATGAGCAACGATCGAGCTTGATACAGCTCCACTCCCACCCTGTATGAGCCAGCGTGGATTGTGTTCTTTGATCAATTGGTAGACAACCATAGACGAGGTCAACATAGGCAGTTTATCTTTGTTGTAGCATCGAATGTTTGGTGACGTAAAGAACACACCTCTTAGGCGAGCGGTATTAAATGTAGATTTCACTGCTAAGAATAAAACTCTACTGACCCTGTCAGTGGTGACATCGTCTTTAAATGAAAATTTTATATAAAGCGTTTTCTTCTCCGCTTTGGCATTTTCGTCGGCTTATTCTGTTCAGTCCAATTAGGTCGATAAACTTCTCAGGATAGCTATTTTCCAGCTATGTTCTCCTCACCAGTTCAACCTCGTCCTTTAAACTATCTACTCTGGTTCAGTTGTCAACTTAGTTGAGGAATGTGCCGTGTTGCGTTCCTAATCAATGGCCATGCTTCGTGATTTCAACTGAGGATCCCTCATTCGATTCTGGTAGGCAGCTATTCTTAGACCGAGATTTCGCCACGATGCTTTTCCCTTTTTGCTTGTTCCCGGTAGTTGTGGCTGAAGCTAATGGCTGAACCGAGGCTACGGGAGGCAGAATAGATGTGAGAGAAGGTCTTGTTAATGCATTCATTACAAACTGAACAACAACAACACCAACAGGTTTCAAATAATTCTGCCCCCCCCCCTCTTGTCTATTAAATGTCTTGACACTGCACGTTCCGGGATCGGTGAAGCCACGCGACTTTCGCCGGGGCTAGTGATATGCAAACTCCAAATCGGTTAGGGCAAATGGTGATGCGTTGGTTATTGCCCGTGGACTGGTTCATTTTGACCATCAGCACCTTTTCCCATCAAGCTTGAGCCAAAACCCGCAATCCTTCAGTTTCAATGCACAACCCTTTAGGCATAACCGCAATGTTTAGCCTCGGACATAGTCCTTTAACCTCGACGCACAAAATTTAGTCTTACCGCTGTAGGCGAGTTAGATCAAAACGTATTGGAATATTCTGAGATCAACGAATGATGCGTTGTCTGTCGTGCGGTCGCATCATTTGTGCGCTCCCGGTTTAAGTGGATTTACT